ATGCTTGGGAAATTCTTCTCCATAATATCTTGGAGCAGAGCATCTGTACCTTTAGGGCCATCCTCTTCTCCTTCACAAATCCCTAGAATTCAGATGTTTGATCTTTTGGAATCATCCCACAACTCTCTCAGGGAATATTTTGTTCTTGTTCTTTTTTTTTCCTGTCACTTTGAGTGCTTGGGATCAATGGAAAGCTATGTCTTCAATTTCTGAGATCCTGTCTGCTGCCTGCTCAATTCTACTACTGAGGGTGTCTCTACTGTAATTAGAAGCTATTCCAATACATTTTTCACTTCCTTAAGCTGTGGTATATCTTTTCTCATTATGTTGTTATCCTTGGTGACTTTGTATTTGAATTCATTAATATCTTGAAAGAAACTCTGAATTACTTTTTGGATTTCTATTTCCACATTTTCCTCCATTCTATACATCTCATGTGCCATCCATAATTCTGAATTCTATTTTTGAATTCTATTTCTGGCACTTGAGCTATTTCTCTATGTATGGTATTTTCTGTTGTGTCTCCTTTGTCATCCCTTGGGGGAGTTGATCTACTCTGATTTTACATGTTGCCAGTATTCTTCCAACTGTTCCTTTCCATGAGTAGTTTCCACTACTTGGCAATTAATACTGGTGGGTGAGACTGTATTGAAGGCCCTAGGATATGGAACTAACCAGTCCTTTACCAATGAGCTGTTTCTTGTGATTGAGGCTGACTTGAAGATCTCTATAACCTCTTGGTTCCTTGGCCTGGTCAATTTCATGTAAGTTTCCTAGGCCTGGCCAATTTCATGAAAGGACTGTATCCATTCATTAATGCATTCATTCACCTTGCCCCTAGCAAGTGACTATATCCATTCATTAATGCACTAATTCTTTTACCCCAAAGGAAAGGACTGTGTCCATTCATTTGTTACCAAGTCCTGGCCTAATGTAACTACAAAGGACCCATGCAACCATATGCTCTTAGACAAAGAACCAAGTCTGAGAGAGAGAAAGAGAGAGAGAGAGAATTTTCTTCTCACTTGGATTTCTGTCTCTGCCAGGAGCTTTGGTGTTTTTTCTCTGTATTCTTTTCTGTAAAATAAATCCTGTCTTACCACTGATCTATGGTCCATAGATTCATTCTTCGAATCACCAAGACCAAGGACCTACTGAAGAAGAAATTCAGGTATCAATACTGTTAAAATGATGATCCTACCCAACGCACTCTACTGATTCAATGCCATTTATATCAAGATACCAGTAAAATCCTTCACAGAAATAAAAATAAATCCACAAATGTGAATGCATGAACAAAAGACCCTCATAGTCAAAGCAATCCTGAGCAAAAAGAAGAAAGCTAGAGGACTCACATTACCTGATTTTTAAATATACTTTAAAACTATACTCATCACAACAGTATGATGTGGGATTAAAACACATAGTCAAAGGGAACAAAATAGAGAAGCCAGAAATAAATCCGTGAACTTACATAATTAGGTGACTTTTTACATATTTTCAAAGAACACACATTGGGTAATGTGTGCATCCTTTTTAAAAAAGGGTGCTGAGAAAACTTGATATCCATATGCAGAAGAATGAAACTAGGCTCTGTCTCCACCATATACCAAAATCAACAAAAACATAAAGTGGAAATCATATGTTTTTATGTTTTTATTCAACTAAGTATGGATAGCAATGTCCATAGCTATGTAGAAATACGACTGAACAAAAAAGGGTCTGATCTAATGCCAGTAGACTGAACGGGGAAACACAGCATGACCTATATCTCTAGATTCTTCTTGGCCCCTGTGAGCATTTATTCCTTCATTCTGGGTGCAGAGCAGAATGCTCTCTGGAATGGGGGTCGTATGCCCTACAATCAAAAAACGTAAGTCAGATTGTTCTGAAATAATTATCCATGATTAGAAAGATTAACAACAAAGGTGATGGCCATCAGAGGTGGGACAGATACTTTACACAGAAAAATATACAAGGTTTTAAAGTTTCCTTTCAAGAGAGTAAGATCTGGTTTTGATGAGCCCCCATGGGAAGAGATATTGCAATTTCTATGGCAAACTCCCAGGGAGAAAGGGACTGAGAGACAGGAGGACAGAAATCAAAGATTACATTTGCTTCTGAGGATGCTTGTGAGGTCTTTAGGGTACTGTTTTCTGAGACCCAACACACATTTCTGTATTTTTGAAAAGGCCAGGTAAAGTGAGTATGAAACACTGCACAGACTCTGAGAAAGAATGTAACTTGCAAACATGGTTAATTCCTAAATCTTTCCCACTGTTTCAATTGATGCTGTTCCTGAGAAAAGCCACATTGTATAAGGCAGATTTTTCTCTCAAATACATTTGAATATTTCCAACACCCTCCTTTTGTTGGGAAATTTTCCTTATTGAGATTAAACTTACAGGGGTGGCTCCTGTGGCTCAGTGGGTAAGGCACTGGCCTCATATACTAAGGGTGGTGGGTTTGAACCCAGCCCTGGCCAAACTACAACAACCACCACCACAAAAAAAGCCAGGCATTCTTTTGGGCACCTGTAGTCCCAGCTACTCAGAAGACTGAGGCAAGATAATTGCCTAAGCCCAGGAGTTAGAGGTTGCTGTGAGCTGTGATGTTACAGCACTCTACCAAGGGTGATAAAGTGAGACTCTATCTCTAAAAAAAAGAGAGAGATAGAGCGAGATTTAAACATACAGTCATCTATCTTCTTACAAAAGCAGTCAGACTCAAAACGGAGTCACAGTGAAAAAATAATAATAGCAAATAGAGTTAGAGAAGTTCATGCAGAGAGGGTTCTCCTGCTTGTTGCCTACTAACAAAAACTATCAACAAAATCTCTGAAGTACTCAAGGCTTTGCACAAAGGGCATCATGAACTTACACAAAAATACTTCTGCAAAGACATCTGGCAGGAGCTGCCTGTCCCACCTCTGACAGGCATCACCCTTGTTATTAATCCTTCTAATCATGGATAATTATTTCAGAACAATTTTGTAATCCTCAGGTTTTCTTTAAAAGTTTGTCTTCCTATACTGCTTGTCATATGCACATATGGTTTACTACAGCACCCCTACGTCCATTGCGATGCCCTCTTCCCAAATAAATATCTTTGTCTTCTGGAGAGACTCTCTTTCTGTTTGTCATCTGTGTTGACATTCTGCACATATGTGACACAGACTTACTGACCTCCAGTTAAAGCTAAAACCAAGATCTCTCCGCCTATCTTCCTTCCCTCAGGTCCAACTCAGATTCTAACATGGTCTTGGCAAACACTGAATACTCTCTTCTGGTGAAATAATTTTGTCTGAATTACTGTTGACATACTTTAAAGTTACCTACTTTAAAAATTTGGTGAGTTTGGAGCTACTATTGTGATAGTCTTTTGTGCCCTGCTAATTCTTTGGATTATTTTTGAAAGTGAGGAACATTTGACATTTGATTCACATCAATTGCAACTTTAGAGGCTACTCTTACTAGTACTATGAACCACTCATTTCTGAGAACAGCAAATGATAATTTCTTACTTTCATTTTCCCCTACATAAAAGAATGAGTAGTGATACCCCTTTCCATTTGGAATCATTTGCCACCATATTTATGCATGACATATAGATTTATACAAATTTATAATATTTTCCAGATAAGAGAAAAAAAATCCTTAGGCCTTTTCCTTATGATAGGGAACCTATTCATGCTCTGTGACAAAAATATTTTGCTTATAAATATATGCCTTGTTCTTGCTCCATGAAACTAACTTTCTTTTCCTTGATAAACTTCATCTTATGTTTACAATACATCATATTTAAACCAGCATGTTAGTTAAATTACAAAT